TGGTTTGTTGCTCGGCAGCTGTGGTGCGCTTGTGCTGTACAGGCTTGCAGTTGATCCTGGACAGGAAGTCGACGACTCCATCGAGGACGCGATGGAGATAATTCACGCTGGCGGCAGGAAGGCGAAGGGGATACCAAGAGGAGGTGTATATTTGTCTATGTATCTTTAACAATATATGTATATGCATATATGTGTCGCACTTGTGAGATAGTTGCAGGGTGCTGGCTCAGAACCGGGGTTAGGTTGGGAATGCTGGGGGGGTACACGATAAATGGCAGCGCACCGTCAACACAGCCGTAGGGTGAACGGAAGTTGTGTTGGGGATGTCCGATTTGTGGCATCGCACCTCTGATATGGCTGGAGCGCGATGCCCAAAAGAAAGGGGGTTGGGCTGGAGGTATCCGAGATGTGGCAGCGCGCCCGCAACAATCTCCAACATGGCTGCAGAGTGCTGTGATAAGAGTGGGGTGGGGCTTGGGATGGCTGACGGGGTACACGTTTCCTGCTGTTTAACAACAATGTTTGTGCACGCTTCACATTCGAAGCAGGTTTGATGTTCCAAAGAAGAAACAACACATAACCCCATGCAGGCAGTCTGAGCAATTGCAGCCCTCGCCCGCAACCGTGCCGCATGAACCGCGCAATTAGAGGGACAGTCGAAAATGTTCCGGGTATCTCAGGAGTTATAGTCGTTGCCACGCAACCCTCCCCAAAACACCGCAGAAACTGCCCGATGTCACACAGATGGAAGGACAAGAGAGTTGGAGTTAAGCAAGACAGTCACGAACAAACGGCACAGTACCCAGAAATGCATGCACATGCACACAAGCTAAAATGACACGCTGCGGGCCCGACCCCAGGTGCTGCCGACCGCTGGGCAGAGCATGTCCGCCGAGATGTTGCTCTTCTGACCCAGGCGGGTCATGAGGTGGCGGAGGTGGATGCCGATGGCAACTGCCTGTTTCGCGCGTCACTCGCCTAATTAGTTGAGTGGACTTGTGTCAATGCGGGGATGTGGGTGATGGTTGCGCGTCAGGTTTGGCATCCAAGGAATCAGGGGACTGGTATGATGCTCTGCTTCGTTCCATGAAGCAAGGGACGGGCATGATGCTTTGCTTAGTTCCAAGAAGTAAGGGACGGGTATGATGCTTTGCCTTCCAGGAAGCTTGGCACGGGAGGAATGGAAGTTCAAATAAAGTGGTGAAGATGCAAGGGACGGTTATGATGCTCTGTTTGGTTCCAGGAAGCAAGGGACGGGTATGATGCTTTGCTTAGTTCCAAGAAGTAAGGGACGGGTAGGATGCTTTGCCTTCCAGGAAGCTTGGCACGGGAGGAATGGAAGTTCAAATAAAGTGGTGAAGATGCAAGGGACGGATATGATGCTTTGCTTAGTTGAAGGAAGCAAGGGCGGGTATGACGATTTACTTAATTCCAGGAAGCATGGTCCTCCAAAAAGTAGATGTTCCGAAATGTTTGTGTGCTTTGTTTTTTTCAAAAACTCCAGGAGGTTGAGCATTTTTGGAAAAACGCCCAGGCGCCAGAGGTGTATGCTGCGTCGTAGTAGGAACGTTAACATCTGGCCCGCTGGGATGCACTGGACAGAGATGCAGGCATGGGAGCGACTTTCGAAGAAAACGGGCCAACAAAGCAGGACAGCGAAAGCAAGAAAATGTGCAAAAACCCACAGGAAGCGAAGAAAAAACACAGGAGTACAAGAGGAAAAAAAGCAAAAACCAACATTTTTAACAAAAAAGAGACATGAGTCCACGGAATGAATTTTCAGCAAAAAAGGCAAAACGCCCAAAAAAAGCAAAACGGAAGATGACATGTGGCAAAAACGCACACAAAAATAGCATTCGTCCGGCAGAGAAAAACAAAAGCAAGGTTTTCAAAAAACATGAGGAGTGTTGTCATGGACTGATTTCGGGTTGAACAGTGCAGCGGAACCACTACTTACTACTTACTACTTACTACTTACTACTTACTACTTGCTACTTGCTACTTGCTACTTGCTACTTGCTACTTGCTACTTGCTACTTGCTACTTACTACTTACTACTTACTACTTACTACTTACTACTACTACTACTACTACTACTACTACTACTACTACTACTACTACTACTACTACTACTACTACTACTACTACTACTACTACTACTACTACTACTACTACTACTACGACTACTACTACGCCTACTACTACCACTACTACTTCCTTGGTGGCGGCCGTGCTCCTTACAGCCGATCACTATTTTTAGTATTAGGGCCACTGTTGGTATAGTTGATTCCTGTTGTTGTGTTTGTTGGTTGTTATCGGTGTTATTACTGATATATTTCCTTGTTTGTCTTATTCTTGCTAGTTACTGTACGTCATATAGCCTGTGAAAATCCAATGTGAGGTCAGCTTTACCTTCGCGAAATGGCTGGGATCGGGGTCCTCTGGCAAAGTGGTACTTGCCGCCCCTCTGGTGGGGCCAAGTGCCTGGGCATGGTTCATGAGCTTGGGGACATTTTAGAAAATGTTTGCAGCAGGCTGGTTCGAGGGGATGGCGCCCAGACCCGAGCATAGTTTGTAGAGCCTGTGATCTGACCGAGCTGAGGGTTCGCCATAAAGTACCCAGCTGGACAAAGGCACGTGGGATGTGCGCCTTGAGTCGTGATAATCCGAAGTTCCCAGTTGGCAATTTCAACACGTTCTGGTTCGTGTCAGGAGGCTGAGCTGCATGCCCTGTGTTCACGGCAGGCAGAGGAGCCCAGCCACGTTTCTTTGGGGTTACGGTTTAGGGTTTAGGGTTTGTGCAGTGTCGCAGCAGAGGAGCAGCGTGTCGACACAGTGATTCGCTTCGGTGCTCCACTTCGGTGGAGGGGAATCTGGGCATCTGCATGGAGGCGCAAAGTTCGGTTTACTCCTCGGTCCGAAGGTAGGTACGGTCTTAGCTTCGATCTTGTCAGAGTTTGAATGCACACAATGAACTACCCCCCTGCGCATGTTCTGAGTGCTGTGCGCGCGCTGCCTATGTTCTGCATGCTTGCTCCTGACAGTGTGTGAGGAAGAACTTTGATCGTTCATTGCTGGCTTGCAAATCTCGTCGAAAACATCATTTGAACATCCGTCAGCCGTCAGTTGTCAAAGTGCAAAGAGCAGACAGCCAATGGCAACTTTCCTCCAGGTCATATTCCATAGCCTCCAATGGAATCACAGTATTGCTACCTCTAGCCTACGTGGGCCTCTTTCAAACTTGATGACTTCACTTTGACTTGAAGGCCGCCAATGCAGGGCACCTATGGAGCTCCCTCATGGAGCTCTCCATGGGTGACCGGCTCAAGGGCACGGTCGATCTCATCAGCACGCTGCATCTGCTGGAAAGCGTAGAAGTCGTTCACAGGGACCCTTGGCAGGTTTATGCGTGGTAAGTTGTGGTATGTAAGGCTTTGCAACCAAGATTTTGATTCGTCAACCTTTGCGCCATGGAGATTGTTTTCTTCCATCTTGTTTGGAGGCGCTAGATTCCTCATGGACTTCGCGGTTTCTTGTCATCTTCGCTCCGTTTCTGTTCATTTATTGGATTATTGCGTTGGTGGCCTCCGGGGTTTCATGGCCGAACACGAGTGGCAAAACTGTACCTGGTAAGTGTAGAGGAGTAAGGTATGGCCTAAGAATAAGCCTTGAACAAAGTAGCAAACCACAAGCTCTCAAAAGTCACGAGAACATGGCCAACCACCATTACTGAAAACAGTGTTAGCAGCATTGAACTCTTTGCGGGAGAGGGAAGCGGCAACCGAGACAATTTTTCTAAGTCGTTGCGTGTATCTATTTTTGTTTCTGCGTGGTTTACTCATTGCATTGATCTGTTCGCGTGTGCATCCACTCCTTTCTTCAATGTTTTAATAAAGGCACTTATATAGGTTAGTATTTAGTACATATGTATTCGTAATTCATTTCAATTACTCTATTCGTATACCGATGAATAGATGGGAGTGGCTACGTCGAACTCTGGATGGAGCGGGGAGCGGCTGCTCACCTTAAGCTCTGAAACGATTGGCGAAACCTCAGCACTACAACACACCCTAAACGTTGCCGGGAGTGGCAAGCCCCACGTAAATCTTCTGTATCTGGGCAGCAAGTTTCCTCATCCTGCTGAGGACATTTCTCCGTTCAATCTAGTCCTTCGCCGCGCAGGCGAGGAGTCGAAACCAGCAACTGCGTGTGGTAAAGTAGGGGAATCGCTCATGAGGTGGATCGTTCACCGTGTGCCTGTGCGATTTTGGCATGGCATCCTACGTGCACGACCCTCCACCAGAGGCTCCCATGCAGAAATTTGGACAACTTGACATAGCCTGTCATGCTCTCATGTGGTTCCGACCTATTTAGGCCTGTGTCTGCTCCACAACATACAGTCCTAGAACCACTGTCAGCTTGCAAGTTTGGATCTGCAGATCGATGAGAGCGCTGCTGATTCGGAATACGCGGCTCCAGAGCTGAGTGGACCGCACGACCACTCTCTCAGGTGTGCAAAGGTTTGTTCCCCACGATTGTGCTGTAAGGGAACTGCAAGAACCCCCCCCTTAAACGGACCTTGCTACTTCAGAAAAGGAGTCGACCCCAGGGCTACCAGGCATGCAGTGTCACTTAGACGTTCGGTGAGTCGGAGCGGAATCCTCATGACATGCCTGGTCAAGGTTAGTGATTCAATATGCATTGCGTTTGAAGCCTGATTGTTTCCAGACTTTTTCGAGGCATTGCAGTCGACAGATTCAGCGTTGGCATGTGCCTTTTCGGTCTTTGGCGTGCTGCCCTTAGATGAAGAATTGCTCAGCGATAGACGCATCGCCTTTTTTCAGATTGGTGTGCAAGCCCAATTCCTGCACATGATTTTCTGTCTGCTTGTCAGGGGCTTTGGTGGAGGCCGTGCTCTCAGAGGAAGCAATGACCTTGCGACATATAGAAGTAGCTAGGTAAACGCAGTGAGTTGTATTCGGGCACGCACATGATTTGTTCTTGCCTGCAAAGACGGACCTGAACGGCGTGGCGGAAGGCATCTCAGGCTCCATGTCGCAATCATTAGCGCTTGGGTCCGGAATCTGCGAGTGTTTGTTGGACTTCGTCGCCGGAATATACAAGTTGATCGAAAGATGCCCAAGATGGGTTGTAGCTTGAACAGATGTCCCGATAACTCATCCCGCATCCACCTGGCAGTTGCGCGTTATCGGGTTGGGCAGCAACAACGTGTCCTTTGGGTCGAGGATCCTTGGCTTGAACATTGGTGCCAAGATTCGGAAAAATCCCGCTACACACACAACTGAAGAATTCATTAATTGGAAGTCCTCTCTCGACTTTGCGTGATGTCATGTCATGTCATATCGACTCCTATTGACCGAATGGTATGCCATTTCCGATTCACCAATTCTGAGCCCTCTTCCAATGCTCCCAGTTTCGCCAGTAAAGACGCCTTGTCAGCCTCAACCGTGCCAGCGCCTGAAACTTGAAGTCTGACAGCAGCGTGAAGCAGGCCGATCTCAAAATTAAACAGCTTCTCGCAGCGATTCTGGTAGCTCGAGTGACCCGTTGCTTAGGCCCCGTTCCGCCTTCCGGGCTTAATCGTTGCTGGGCCGGCACGATGTTGAGTGTCTTCAAGCCATGGACGTGTTGTGCACCAGACTTGGTTACAGTTCGTTTCTTATCTTGACCAACGATTTCGGGGCGCGGATGAATTTCTAATGCAGCTAGCTATGATTGATTGGATGGTTTGCGTGTGAAGCTGCCAGAGCAATTCGCGACATTGACTGATCGATGCCTGCCTATAGATCGTTTGTCTGCCTAGCTTTGGTGCACATGTGTGCATAAGCATGCTACATCGCAATCTGTTGGCAGGGCGCAGATCAATTCGCAAGACTCTTGCAACTTTGAGTTTGTGGCTGCTCAGGCTGACTTGCTGTCCTTCGAACCGTCCAGATGGCCAGGCTTGTTGGATGCGCAGGAGTGGTGTGCCTTGCTGGCCAGCTAGAAACCGGACAAATGCTGCTCAACCTGCAGGATGCGGATGTGCCATGTAGTTGTTGCTGTTCCTTGTGCGCTTGGTTAACAATTCAGCTACTATGTAAACGGCCATGGTCGGACATGCTCCCATCACTCATCAGCTTCTTCGCTTGGTGTTTAACCTGCGTGAGCTAGCTGTTTGTTGCAAGGGCCACGGGACCTGCAGTCTCTCATCCAGGTCAGCGCATCAGATTGCTTATGTTGCCTAAAGCACCGCTCACGCTCTTCAGAGGGTCTATGCCAGCGGGCACCGGTGCTGCAGTGAATTGCTCTGCCGCGACTCTATATCAGTTACACCCGGCAAGGGCCAAGTTTCAGTACCATTGCCCCAGATGTACTGAACAAGCCGGGTAGCCTGTGCGAACCCGATGTCAGCATGCATTACTTGCCGACCGCTCTAGTTACTGCTCCGCAGGATCTGGAAGTGGAAGTGCTGTACGGGGAGGACCGCTTTGGTACCCGTGTAAATTTTGGACCATGTGTGGGTGGTCGCACAGCATGGGTAATTCGATGACTCGCAGACTCAGGGACTACACTCACGTTAAAGCAAAACCCTGCGGGACATTGCTCGAGTGCTGATGTGGAATGCCGACTCTACTCTTGAAGTGTTCGCACACTGTGTGCAAGTTGCCTCGACATTCATTGCTTTGGAGTTTAGATGTTTTTGAGTTGTGGGGAGATGTATTGAGAAAAAGCCTACTTACTCTGAAAAACCAACACAATCCGAGTTATCTTCAGGCCTTGAGACTAAGTATTTGTTTTTCACCTGGAGTAGGCCGGATATACCTCCAAACACGAGCATTTGACAGAGTGAGCGGTGCCTTCGGCTTCAAGTTGTGAGACATGTCCTGACCTTCGTTTCTGGAGAAATATGTTTCGATGACTCGTCGAAGTGCATTCAAAGCGCCTCTCAGCGTTCCCTGCGTTATATTTTTTCAGGGGGCAGACAGCCTCCCAGAGCTTCCTACAGACATTGAGGACATCGACAGATTCCTGCAGTGTGTCAAGGCCGAGGCGCTCCCAGCGGTCTACTCTTTGTCTTGGCTTTGGCTATTAAGTTTAAGCTTCGATGGGGAAGGAAACATATTCGGGTTTGGATCAGGTCGCTGCTAGCCAGGCTGGTTTAGGCTGATTCTTCGTTTACATCCCTGACTTTGCGCGCTTGCAGACAGAGAGTCCGGCAAAGGGGCGCATAGTCCCAACATGTCCCAACCCAACGATTAACTTTCTGAACATTCTGGGGTGTTGAGGGTCTGCTTCTACGGTTCTGGAGGTGTTCTTGTGGCCATGTCCTCAGGCTTAATTAGAGTCAGGTAACATCGAAGATGCCGAATCCCTTCACCTACTCCGCAGCAGGCCATGCCAATGGTTTCTGCAGCGTTACGTAATTTCACAAAGTAAGGGTGCCTAGCACACATCTCACCTGGATTACAACCCGTTGCTGTTGTGCATTTGTTTGGCGAGCACTGGCACGAACAAATCTTGTAAGAGGAGTCATCACAAAATTCGTGGCCTGCTGTCCTCATTCATGAGAGCACAACCACTACGGAGTGTGTTTGTGTGTGTGACAATTCGTGGGCTGCAGCCTTTTTTTGGAATGTCAAACCATCGCGAAATTTCAGATTCATTGGCCATTGAACATGTATGGAATTCCGGAGAAGTGGCGCTCACTGCACTTGCCCAAGGTCGCAAAACGATTTCCTTTGTTGTTGGGAAAGGGCTACTCGTTTTAGGCGAACAAGAAAAGTACAAGTGCAGGTCTTGTAGTGCTCAGATCCTCTTGGAGTAGAAGCGAAAGCACCATAGTGACCATAGTCGTTTGTCGTTTCGAGGCCGTCGGGACGTGCCAGGAACGTGCTGTAGATTTATTCTATTGCCCAGGGGAAGGTCTGGGGTGCCCAGCCAGAGGCTCCAAATGTAGCTATTGTAAAAGGATGCCCTAAACAAAAGCTTTCTATAGGAACACTCTGGGTTAATCATGCGTGACTCCGCAAGTTCACCAAAAAGGACGATGCACATCGCGAGCCGTTTCGGAGGGTTTGCCATAGAATTCTGAACCCCGCTCCAGTGCCAGAAGGCCAGAATCCCCGGAAAAGCACCTAGACATGAAGATCCCTCCGCGAAGACTTTGTGACTTACGCTGCCATGTGTCCGGTATGGGATTTGGGGTCCGGGGTCGGCAAGACCACCGCTGTAAGACGGCGCCCTGCGAAGCAACCGAACATAGGCAGAGGGCAGTTTTTGCTTCGGGGATTCGGAGCTATCCAGAGTCCACATTCGATCAAATGTGCTGGATTTTTTTGCGATCTAGTCATGATTCAATCGATCGGGCTGTAATGGGTTCTGCTATCAACTCCCTTGGCTGCTGTGCGCAGCCGACTAGTTTCAAAACGTAGGACTTTCCATGTGCATTAACTGATAAACACTTGAAATTGACACTTGCTCCAGGGACCCGGAGGCGGAGGAGGGCAGGAACTAAGGGACCTGTAGTCTACTGCTTGAAGGCTTGCGTGCACATTCTATGCACCTTATAGAAAGATGATCCAGCATAAGACGTTCAAAGACTTTCCCAGCAAATAATATTGGTGCCACACTTGCTTGAGGCACCTTCAGTGAGGTGTTCTGCTAAGCATTAACCCTGTTTTGCATTATCGCCTCAAGCTGAGCTGTGTTTTGGACAGGGATATATGGCACAAACAAATCCCGAGTCAAAACTTGGCAAGCCAAGAACTTGTGCGATCACAGCACAATAATGGCTCATGTTGGCAGAATTCCCTGATTACCTTCACCCACCCCCCAACCCCTAATTGCCAAAATCAAGCCCAGATAGCCCCCATGTTTACCCGCCCGAAAAAGTTTTCAGCTGGGCAAACAGGAACCAAAGAACCTCCGTGGCTTGTGAAACGGTGCGGGCCTCAAGTGAAGTCCGTGTCCTTTGTTTCTGGGGTCGCAACCTCAGAAAGAGATCCCAGCCCGGTTCGGACAAACTTTGTAGCTGCATAACGGTTTGGACTACCGCTTAAGCAGACTTTCTGCGCATACGTCCGAACCAGGCTCTTTTCGGTGTATAGGAGTTTGGCTTCAGAGCAAATCTTCAGTCAACTCGAAGCCCGACGCAAACGATTTCTTAGTCTGGAACCACGGACTCATGGAATTTTCTGTGCAATTTTAGCTATAGCCCATGGGCGGAATAAGGGGTCGCCAAATCACTTTACAGTCCCAGCCTCACGGTTTGCTCCCATGGCGTTGAACCGATTGTCGAGAAGTTGTGGATGGGATCGGACCATGCGCAATCAATTTCCGCTATTCTAGATAGACATGGTGAGAGTATGCCTCATGACCAGCAGTAGCAAATCATGATCTTCAGTTTGCGAAAAGAATGATCACCATATCGCTCTCATCGTAATATTCAAGAACCCAGACGGGAGGCATAGCAGACATGTTTGTGAGAGCATGATCTCCCTTCCAAGCTCCAGCAGCCGCCCCGCCCCCAGGTGCCGCTTCCGCCGCTCTTGGGTAAGGTTGCTCTATCATGTTTGCTCAACTGCACGAAGTGCATCAGTTGTTGCGTTGCAGCTAGTCTTGCTAGACGATGTGCGCAGCTTTGTGGTAACGACAAAGCCACCCGTCGGCACAGGCTTGGCGCTTCCTTCCCTCCACGAAGGCAGCGACCCACAGACACACCACAGACAGGGGACATTAGGTATGGAGCTGCTGGAGCATGCATCTGCAGAGCTGAAATGTAGTCGCTGCTAGAGGCAGCTTGCATGTTACGTGTACAAGTGCAGTCTTATGCCCTGTTTGCAGGCGTGCTGCTGCAGGCAAACTCTCAGCCTCGCAGTAAAACAGTTCACCCAAGCATTCTTCCAACAGATGAAAGAAATAGCCCAGGTGAGACTGGGGAGATTGACCCTGGAAGGTGTACACACGCTTTTGGAACATATCTTCAAGTCGGAAACCGAGCATTTTTTCCCACAAGCACAGACCACAATCAAAGTTTTCTTGGCATGCGTTCGCATGCTAGCTCTAAAGGACAATGACAGTTCTTGGCTTGAGTGACTTCCGTTACAACAACCCTCCAAATCCACACAACAACGATACATGAATGGTGGTCTGCATTATGCCCCACAGCGCGGACCAATGGATGCCCTTTTCCAACAGATACTGCTGTCCCTTCAACCCACGCAAAACGTTAAAACTGCTACTGTAGCCTTGAGTGTCTTGCTGCAGGCCAATTGCCAAATGAGCTTCCGGGCATAAGTGGCAAAGTCCGGTGGCGCTACGATGCCGCGGCAGCTGCGGACAGAAGTTCCTTGGCGCACCTAAAGCATCGAAAGTCCCGCGCAACCGGGCGGTGGAGTTGCAACGTTCGGAATCTGAGTTCATGCCAGTTGTTTATGCAAGGGTTTAGGGTTTAGGGTTTAGGGTTTAGGGTTTAGGGTGTAGGGTTTATAGAAATTGTATAGGGTTTGGGTCCCAATAACGTTTTGAGCGAAAGTTTTGAGCGAAAAGTTTTGAGCGAAACGTTTTGACCGAAACGTTTTGACCGAAACGTTTTGTTTTTTGGAACCAATTTGGGGCGGGGGGGGGGGTGGGGGGGAAGGGCTGGGGCTGTGTGGGGCTGGCTGGGCTGGGGCTGGAGCTGAATCCAGACTGGGCTTGGAAGTGGGGGGGGGTTTTTGGGGGGGGTTTTTGGGGGGTTTTGGGGCGGTTTTGGGGGGGGGGTGGGAGGGGGGGGGTTTGGGGGGGTTTTGGGCGGGTTTTTCTTGGGGGGTTTTGGGGGGGTTTGGGGGGGTTTTGGGTGGGTTTTGCGGTGGGTTTTGGGTGGGTTTTGGCGGGGATTTTGGGGGGGTTTTGGGGGGTCGACTTTCGGGCCTCATTTGTGGGCTTTGACGCGTAGCCTAAGTTAGCCCCAGAGGTTTAAGTAAATTGAGCATTTCGTCTCCCAGGCGCTTTGGATTAATTTACTTAAACTCTGCATGTCAGCTGTTTAGACAAATATCTTGAAAATTCAGAATGATACCACATACAATTTCTATTTATTTTGTCTTGAGGGTTTAGGGTTTAGGGTTTAGGGTTTAGGGTTTAGGGTTTAGGGGTTTAGGGTTTAGGGTTTAGGGGTTTAGGGGTTTAGGGGTTTAGGGGTTTAGGGGTTTAGGGGTTTCGGGGTTTCGGGGTTTCGGGGTTTCGGGGTTTAGGGGTTTAGGGGTTTAGGGGTTTAGCGGTTTAGGGGTTTAGGGGTTTCGGGTTTCGGGTTTAGGGTTTAGGGGTTTAGGGGTTTAGGGGTTTAGGGTACGGGGGGCAACCAAAGGGGGACAGGGAACAAAACAGTCAACCCCGGAAGAAGCCCTTAAGCCCCCTGGACCAACCACAAACCAAACCCAAAGGACCAAACACTCCTTTTTGCTTTCAGGGCGCATTGCCCAGGTTCTTGAGCCTTGAGCCAAAATGATTCCGGGTTTTGCAACCCTTGAAATGCTACCTTTTATACAAACTGCATCTCCGCACTCCCCCTGTCCCAGGCATTGCTGGGACACCATTGGAGGTGCAGATAACGGGTCAAAAAAGCTGCCATTTCTTGACAGCAACCACCAAAAGTTTAACGTCCGATGGACGGGCCGTAGCCATTGGCTTGCAAATACTGGTTTTACGTCATCCAGGACGAGTTTGAGAGCTCATTGACTCTGTATTCCGAGGAGGATCTTTTTCACCTCACTTGGAAAGTGGATCCATCATCCACTAAAAATTCTGCACTCACCACCCATTCTTTTTTAACGCATCGTTTGCACATTGTCCTCGCCTTGGGTTGTGAATATTGCAGAGTATCACAATCACTGCTCGCGTGCATACAGCCACCATTTGCCGTTGCGTATAATGTGGCACTCGTTGGGATAATCACCACCTTCCTCCCCCACAGCCCTTGATGTAGCCGTCGGAGAATGTACTTGGCCAATTCCCAGAGTAAAATTGCTACCAACAAATACGCAGCGATATCCAAGTTGTTCAGTGCTGTTTCTATACCTTGCGCCAGAACCATTACCGTGGATTCGTTGGAAACTCGGCACACCCCGTCTTCTGAGCAGAAAAAACCTGGCGTTCGCGTCTCCACCGTTGCCATCCCTTGAAGAGATGCAGCCACCATCATGACCGCCATTGCAAGAGAGGCCCGTTTCAAGTCAGCCCCTTGTACCAACATTTGGAGACCCCAAAGCGCCTTTTGTTTTGCGTAAACCTGTCCACTCATCAGTTTTGTCAACAGGTCACCAATCATGTACTCACCACGAAGATGTGCTATCACCATGTAACCACGGTCCACCAGAGACCTGACACCCGCCGCTCGGATTCTCAGGTGCCTTGTTCTCCAGCTTCCAGCAGGGTATTGAATAATTGAGCACGTCGAAACCGAATCTGTATACAGCACTTTCTGCACCGGTTCCCACCAAAGCGGCAATGATGGGAGTACACGACTGAATCATCGTTGCTCCCTCAATAGACGCGTGTAACTCAGCTTCAGCAGTACTCAAAGCCACCGTTGACTGTCTCTGCGTTGCCCACATTACCGGAAAATCACCCCAAATCACTACCGCTCCTGAGTGGCTCTTTTCGTTTTCACCTGCTGCAAAACTGGCATCTGCATAAGATTCTACCACCTTGATGCCTCGCCCATAACGCAACAACTCATTTCGCTCTTTTTCGCTTGTTGCGATTGCCCCAAACGTCAAACCCAACGTTGGAGTTGCAGCAAGGTACCGAAATACCTCCTCAGCCTTTTTAACCACGAATCGCGGCCTTCGAGATGTCCACAAAGACAGCTGGCTTGTGCAGAAAGCCAAATCAGGTCGAGTTTTGATTGCCGCCCAGAGGAACTCCCCTACGGCTCCTTGAGCCGCTCGTAAGGAAGGAGTATCCACCTCCTCTTCTTCACCGGGGGTTTCTTTAACCATTGGCAGATTACTGCCTTTCCCAGTTTCATCAATCTGATACCCTCGTCGGTTCAGCAAATCTCTCACAAAATCCTCTTGGTTGAGAAAGAAGCTGCCATTTCGATACCAGATCTGGACACCCAAAAACTTCAGGAATCCATCACCACAGCCTGGACCACAGAACTCAGGTTCCGAAGTTTTCCACTCCTTCCTGATCTGTTCCAAGGCCTCCCGGAGCACTGTCATAGTCCCGGCCATCAAAAAATCATCCACGTAAAGACCCATGGTCCCTACCAACTCACTTGCACCTTCCAGCTTCTCTTGTGCCAGAATAAGGAATAGACTTGGGTCTGCATTGGACCTCTGAAAACTCATTGCTCGTCCATCCTTTGACACCCAAGACATGCCTTGAAGACGCTGATCTCGCAACTCCACCCATGCTGCAGGACTTTCGGCCAAACCATACAAGGCCTTCCTCACAATCCACCGCTCCTCCTTTGTGCAAAGACCCAACTTCACCGCCGCCCGTGGAGGCTGTACCACCACCAGACGCCCTTCTCTTTGCGCCCTATTCATCGGCGCCGTCAGAAAAGCTTTGGAAATGTCTAAACCAGCGATGATCCACACCATATATGCCGCGTGCCTCACTTGACACCTAAATGTGGTTGAGTCTAAACCAGGAGCGTACAGCGAGTGACGACTAAGGGATCTAGGCCCTTCGTATTCCGTGGCCGCTGTTGACGAAATAAAATTGCCGCATGCACAAATACGGGCACGTCGCCTTCCAGTCCCTTGCTTCCGGGTAAACACCACCAGACTAGGCACGTACTCAATCACCGGTGCATTAGGCTCTTCCGCCAATTTGTCCAGCTTTTCTTGAGTTGTTGGTTCAACCACCTCCAACTCCTTGACCAAAGACGTCACCTCGTCCGACAACGATTCCCTCCACTTTTCAAGCTCTTGCATGGCTTCTTGTGTAGGAATCGTCTTTGTCTGCAGGAACTCGACCTCCTCTGCCGCCTCAAGCGCCATATTTTCTTGCACCGCCTGCTGAACTTGAGCTGCTTTGATCAAAAACTTCGACAGCTGTTCTTCAATTCTTTTCGCTTTAACCAGCCATTCTTTAGTCGTCTCTGATCCTTTTTCTCCACTCAACTCATTGGCCGATTCATGGAACTCATCCAAAACACAGCCTTCCTGTTCAGTAATTAGGCGTCGAATACTCAAATGCTCCTCCAGAGCCCACTGTTGCGCCTCAGAAACAGCATCGTCGACTTCCACAGCAATGTCGTCCAGCGAGGTCTCTTTCAACGTCATCTTCAACCATTTCCTTTTTTCACCTTCTTCAGCTTGTGGTTCCGGAAGAGGAAACTTACATTGGAGAAGAAAGCACCTATCCTTGTAGCCCAATCGCTCCATAAAAACAGGTGTGTACCCCGTTAAGGATACCCTGTTCCCTTTCCAAGGCATAGGTCCATGCAATTTTCTCGGAAAGAACGACATGAAGTTCCAGTGGATGTTGACCAATTTTCCAGGTAAGACTTTCTTCCCATAGGACTGCTCCACCACTTCAGCTCCTTCCTCTAAAACCTTCTCATCCTCAACCCACAGCTGACCATCTTTATAGTCACCAAAGCCACACACATAATTGTAGCAATGCTTCTCATTGTGACTATCTCTATGCAATGACACCGGAGCATTGCATGAGATCTGAAGAGCAGAAAAATTGGCTTCAGGATTGTGGTGCTTCACAAATGATGCAAGGTATCGACACAGCCAAGGTCTCCGCTGGGTCTCTTTTGTAATACCACACACTCCACCATGAGTATAGTGGCCCAACACCAAAGCTCGCGTACTTGCGCACCAATTGTTGATACCACCTCTTCGGTTCACCCTCTTTGGGTAAACAATCCCTTCCAAAAGCTCTTCGCAGTCCACGTAATCATACATAGACCTTTCATACATCGATTTGGCTTTTTGTTCTTCTTTTTCCAACTGTGTTCCATCCTCTGCAGTCTCCCTTTTGCAGACCAAATAAGCATTTTCATGAGGAGAACAACAAGTCGGCCAATACTCATCACTAGGAACATTGTCCTCAATATCTGCATTTTCTTCCAGCTCCCCCAGACCCTGCATGTCATCCTCAAAAATTTCTAAGGGCGGACTCTCCCCCCGCTTGCGAAGCGAGCGCATGACCACGCAGTGAAGAGGCCGGGCTTTTTGAAACCAACCGATGGCGAGCTGGAGGATCACAAGGTGGAGGTAATGGAGGTCCCTCCTCATCAGCAAAGCGAAGCGCTGGTTTTTTCCCCTTGAGTCGATG